CCCAAAGCAAAAGCAAAATTAGGGTTGTTTTCTTCTTATTGTTTGGTTCTTTGGTTTTTGGAAACAGGGTCTCTTTATGTAGCAAACTCTCCATCTTCCTGCCTCAGCCTCTGAGTGCTGGATTACATGCATCACCACCACTGACAGCCAGAACATGGAAATGAACAGTCACAGAAGAGCCAGTGGGAGTCACTCAGGAACTGGGCTTCATTCAGTGCAGAGGGCTGGCCCGGTCCTATAGGACCAGGCAGGACTCAGGGAGAACAAGAGTATGACTGGTGAGCAGTCTCTGCCCTTGCACGGAGGACGTTGAGCTTGTTGTGCTCCCTCCCACCCAGGGCGGGCAGAGAAGTGACCTAGTTCACCTCCTGCCTGCATCCTCGTTTCAGCCGCTCTCAGAACCATCAGTCATTACTTGCGAGGTGACATTCCAGGACATGTCCTTGGCCATTTCCTGTGCTCAGCTTTTTTTTTTTTCTAGCCTGGCCTCTAACTTTGAATCCTCCTGCCTCAGCCTTCTGAGTACTGATGTTGTAGGGTTTGCTCATCATAGTTTCTCGTTTAATATTTCCAGCAAGCCCCACAGAACTGCTCTGCCAACTCTACTTTCTAGATGAAAATTTGAGAACTTGGGAGACTTTTGTTTTACCTGGAATTCTTCATGAAGCTGAGGATGACCTTGAACTCTTGGTCCAACTGCTTCCACTCCCAAGTGTTGAAATTGTAGGCATAAACCATCATCTCTGGTAGAGACAATTTTTCTTTTTTGAAACAGAGGCAATGAGAGGCCAAGTTGTCATCCTGGGTTTCAAATCCACCCTTTGGAACAGAAGCACTGGGTCTCCTGGGATGGTAAGATGACAAAAAGAATCTGGAGTGGTCCAAGGACCAGCCTAACCAGAACCCTGTTGCGAGCCTAAGAATGGGAGAGAAAGGAATTTAGGCAATGACATTTTCAACCACTAGGTGTCACCACAGAGAATACTTTTCAAAGTACTAGGTGTGGGAATAATCTGGCTTTGAGTTTTTCTCCCACTTGAGACAGGGGCCCACTGTGTAGCTCTGGCTGGCCTGGAATTCACAGAGATCTGCCTGTTTCTGCCTCTGTAGGGCCGGGATTAAAGGTATGGGTCACTACGCCCATCCTAAATCTTATATTTTGAGACAGAGCTCTCACTGAACCTGAAACTCACAGATTTGGGTAGACTAGCTGGTTACCCTGGGATCCACTTGGTTTTGTGCCCCCAGCTTTGGGGTTACAAGTGCACATCACACAGTTTTTACATAGGTGCTTCATATCCAAACGTGGGTCCTCCTGCTTAGGCAACGAGCGCTTTACCCACTGAGCCATCTCAGTAACTCTATTATTATTGGTACTATTATTATTTGAAAAATAGGGTCTCATAAGCTTGGGTGTGATGGCGCACACCTTTAATCCTGGCACCTGGGAGGCAGAGGCAGGTGGATCTGTGTGAGTTTGAGGCCAGGCTGATCTACATAGTGAGTTCCCGGTCAGTGAGAGCTATATATGAGGCCCTGTCTTCAAATAAATAAGCAAATAAGTAAATACATAAACAATTAATAAAAACTGCAATCATGGGGCTGGAGAGATGGCTCAGCAGTTATGAACCCTTACTGCCCTTACAGAGGACACACGTTTGAGTCCCAGCACCCACATGGTGGCTTACAGACGCCTGCAACTCCAGTTCTAGGGGATCCAATGCCTTCTTCTGACCTTCAACGGTACCGGAACCACGAGAGGTACACACATGCACATGTGCAGGCAAGACACTCATGCAGATAAAACCAACTCATTACCAACAAAAGGAGGCACAGAGTCCCTGATGTGCGCACTGAGAGGGAAAGTCCGAAGACATGTCTACTGCTTTGTAGGCGGGGGCTTGAATGCAGATGGCTACGCTGTGTGTGGCTCCTTCCCTCACCGGGAAAATGAGAGCACGGTCACTGCTTGAGAAAACTGAGGAGTAAATGGATTCTGACGGCATGTGAGGTTATGGCAATGACTGGTACACGGCGAACTGCAATAAATGTCAAACCTTATGGTTTCTTTTTGAAAATATTTGTTTTTTTTTCCCGACAATTTCATACATCTATATAACACATTGACCAGAATCACCGCTTTCCCCTCTCTTATTTCCATCCACTCGCTCTGGAACCCTTCTGTCCAACATGCCCCCTCCTCCTTTCATGTCTTCAGACAGGGGTCTTGTTTTTTTTTTAAATATATATTTATTATGTATACAATATTCTGTCTGCATGTATGCCTACAGGCCAGAAGAGGGCACCAGACCCCATTACAGATGTTTGTGAGCCACTGTGTGGTTGCTGGAAATTGAACTCAGGACCTTTGGAAGAGCAGGCAATGCGGGCAATGCTCTTAACCACTGAGCCATCTCTCCAGCCCCAAGGGGTCTCATTGTTTATCCCTGGCTGACCTGGAACTCATAATGTTCCCCATGACTTGAAACTGACAGACTCAGGCCTGCCTCTGCATCCCAAATGCTAGACCACTTGTCCTGGCCCTCAATTACTTTTTAAAACCTACTTTCTCCTTCAAGTTGTAGCTCTCACCATCAAAATATCTACTATGGGAAGGGGAGCCGGTGAGAGGGCTCAGTGTAAAGGCTTACTCACTTGTCACCAAGCCTCCAACTTGAGTTTGATCCCAAGAATCCACATGATAGGAGAGGAACCAGTTCCTGAAAATTGTCCTTTGACCTCCATACGTGTTCTATGCTGTGCCCTCCATATACAATAATTAAAAAATTGGCTGGGTAGAACACACCTTTAATCCTAGTAGTCGGGGAGGCAGAGGCAGGTGGATCTCTGAGTTTGAGGCCAGCCTGGTCTACAGAGCAAGTTCCAGGATAGTCAGGACTGTTACACAGAGAAACCCTGTCTCAAAAAGAAAGGGAAAAAAAAAGAAATCTTTTTTCTTTGTTTCAAATAATTATTTCCTGGAACGCTTTTCTTTTCCTTCCTATCCTGGCCCATTCCTACAGACTTCAAGTAGAAAATGAGAGATAACCTCTTGGTTTCTTTCTTCATAAAGCTTATTATTGATATGTGCCTACATGAGATGTCCCTGTATCCGCCCTAGTGGCTGCCCCTTGCCATAGAGTAGTGTAACACGTGAGCAAGGGTGTACTTAGCCGTGCTGGACAGAGAATGCCCTCTGGAGGAGCACTGGGCAAAAGCCTGAACAATGAGGATGGGAAGAAGGTAATTCCTTCAAAGGCCTCGAGGTGGGAACTTCATCGCACGTTTCAGGAACTGAAAGTAGATCCACGGAATTGCTGAGCCGCTAAGGATGAGGCAGGTGAAACCGTGAACAAAGAGATAGGAAGGGCTGGTCAGCAGTCTAGCTCCCCTGGCCCATGCGGCTAGTCACCCACTATCCTGCTGGCATGTGCTCCACCGATCCTGCTGGCATGTGTTCCTCGCCTTTGCTCTTTGGTAATGGAATTCTACTCATTTTTCTTTTTTTCTTTTCGGTTTTATTTACTTTGTATACAATATTCTGTCTGTGTGTCTGCCTGCAGGCCAGAAGAGGGCATCAGATCTCATTTCAGATGGTTGTGAGCCACCATATGGTTGCTGGGAATTGAACTCAGGACCTTTGGAAGAACAGTCAGTGCTCTTAACCTCTGAGCCGTCTCTCCAGCCCTCTTTTCGGTTTTCTGAGACAGGGTTTCTTCATGTAGCCCTGGCTGGCTGTCTTGGATCTTGCTCTGAAGACTAGGCTGACCTCAAACTCAAGAGCTCCACCTACGTCTGCTTCCTTCCAAAATTCTAACTCATCGTTCCAGGACTAGTTCAAACCATTTTTTTTTTTTAAATCTCTCTCATTCTTCAGCAGGACTTAGTCACTCCTGTGACATCCCAGCCCACATGTCACCACGACTCATCACATGCTGACTGAGAGCTCGGGTGTTTACATACCAGTCTGTGCACCAGCATGGTGAGTTCCCAGAGGGCAGAAGCGCTGTCTTAGTCACCTCTGGAACCAGCTCCTTGTACCTAGCCTAGTGAATGTTCATAACACGTACTCAATGTGACATTTAGTTGACTAGTGGGTGGTGCCCAACACTCAAGGTAGAACAGAGGGAAAACAAAAACAATAACAGCTTAGTCTTATCACGTGCTTTCCAAATCACTACCCGAGGAGCCTTCAAGGACTCTTAAAGACACACACTGAGGGAGCTGAGGCCCATGAACACACAATAAGTGGGGATTAAGCCCCACTTTTACATGAGTTTCAGTCCTGGTCATTGGGTTGACCTAAGGAGCAGTGAGACATGGAAGAAGTGGGGATGCCCGGAGTGGTGACAAGCTTTTGTGTGTGAAGAAGACCTTTAGTCATTTACAAGAGTTAGCAATGAAGCCAGCAGAGGACAAGGATTCCTCGCTCTCATCCAAGTATCTAGAGGAGTTCACAACTCCATCCCTCAGTTCAGTGAGTCGGGGTCCCTCTGCTGAGGAAGATGTTCAGGTTCAGCGGTTAGAATGACCTAACGGATGATATGTAAGCAGAAGCGTGCCTCTCTGTTGCTATGACAACCGGAGCTCATCTACCGGGCCCCTGCAAGGGTAGCGGAGTCCTGATCTTCCTTAACTTCAAACCATATAAGGGCTTATGGTGCGCGCTCGCGCCTAGTGGAATAAACACGGAAAAAAAAACGTTTAAGAAACAGCGGTTAGCTCAATGATTCTCTCTGTCGGCCAGAAGTTAAGATCATCTGCGCAGTTCTAAAGGTCAGACTGAATTTGACCAACTAGATCTGGCTGGCATGGCTAGTCATTGAGAGCCTCGCAGGTGGTCCCAACTGCAGCCCAAGATGCAAACCCGGCTTTTCACTGCGGATCTCGTCCGGCGACCTTCTCAAGATGGTGGCGCTCCGCCCCCACGTGCGCCGATAGAGGGCAGGCTTTCCTAGGCGCATGCGCCCCGCGTCTCCGAGAGCCCGGCTGCCTCCTCCTTTTTCCCCCGCCTCCATTTTGTTCGCGGACGCTGGGGACGGTGGGAGCGCATCCATTTCCGGGTTGGCAAAAGGGGCGGCGGCGAGAAAGAGAGCTTGCCGCGGGGCGAACGGGCAAGACTGAACCAGGACACAGGTGACGGAGGACTCGCTCCCGGAGCAGCCCCGGCCAGGTGGGGAGGACGCCGGGGCGGCCGAGCCCGCCGCTGAGGTGACCTGCGGACCTGAGTGGGAGGGAGGGAGAGCCGGGGAGGGGGCCTGAGGGGGGAGGGGACGCCGGGGGAGGGGCCTGAGGCGGAGAGGGGGCCTAGGGGCGGGGCCTGGAGACCCTGGCGTGGGGGCGTGGGCCGTCCGAGTGGAGGGCGGCGGTGAGCGGCCGGTGCGAACCGGGCAAATGGGCAGGAGAGACAGGAAATTAGAGATCCTGAAGGGTTGGGTGAGGTGAGTAAGACGGCAACTCCGGGTGAGGAAGGAGGGGAGCCGTGGCGCAGAGGGGGAGATGGGGAAGGGAGGGAGGACCTGTTGGGAAAGGTAATTATTAGCAGGATGCTCCGAGTTGAGGAGAGCGGTGTGACATTTCGTGTTGATTTAAGTGAACAGGAATGGCTGGAGGAGATGTGGAGAGTGGTGGATGAGAGGGAGTCGGGGAGCTGTCTGAGATGCCTTTGCGAGCTCCTGGAGTTGGAGGTTCCTGTTGGAGGGGTGTGAGATGAGGGGCTATGGAAATCTGAAGGCGCCGAACGTAGGCTGTGTGTGCGGTTGAGTTACTGATGAAGAGTGATTAGGAAGACATAGTCAGGAAGGATAGGATTGGATGAACGAGAAGCTGGAGGAAGCTGCTGTGTGCTGGAATCTACTCCCATCCCTGCTGGGGATTGAATCCTGGTCCACTCGTGTGCTGGGCAAGGGCTCTCTCTACCTCTAAGCTGCACCCGAGCCCTGGAATGCTTTTTTTTTCTCCTTTGGTTTTTCGAGACAGGGGTTCTCTGTGTGTAGCCCTGGCTGTCTTGGAACTCACTCTGTAGACCAAGCTGGCCTCGAACTCTCGAATGCTGGGATTAACGGCATGTGCCTATTGCCCAGCTGAAACTCATATTTTTTTTAAAGCGATTTAAATAGTACTAGATTAATCTCTCCCCGGGCCAGTACCATTTTTTCATGCTATTACTTTTGCTTTAGAGTTCTGTCTTCTGACTTGCTACATGATTTTGGCTACTCTTTTCTCTCTTTATGGACCAGAAGAGAACTTTAGTACCCTACTTCAAATATAGATTTACATGTAATTTTGAGACAGATCATTAGACTCTCAATCTCTTCCTCCTTTGTAATATAGCTTTGTCCCATCTGTTTCCCTAAAAGATTGTGTTAACCAATTAGGAAGTCGGTGTAAAGAAAAACAGGATTGAGATAAGTTTTTTTTTTCTTTTTTTTCTTTTTGTTTTTGAGACAGGGTTTCTCTGTGTTACCTTGTCTGTACTGGAATTTGTTCTGTAGACCAGGCTGGCCTTGAATTCACAGTGATGCCTGCCTCTGCCTCCCAAGTGCTGGGATTACAGATGTGTGTCACCACTGCCCAGCATCTCGATGCATTTTAATATATAATCTTTAGTCTTCTAATATCTTTGTATCTCTAAATATTTTTAATAGTCAACATTTTTATGTTACTGTGTTGGTGACCACCAGGAGGAAGATCTGAACGTTAGAGTTGGAAATGAAAAAGTTCACTTGTTAGTGACATCGAGATTGCAGGGTTTAATTTTCTGAGCCCCCGAGTATTTTAGAGGGGTGAGCCGTGTGCCTTGGTTCACTCAGTACCTGTGGCCTTGTCAGAGGGGAGAGACCATGCTTGTCAACAGGATTAGATGCTTTACTGTCAATCTTTTGAAATTCTGTTTTAGCTTTTTCTTAGGCTGTAATGCTTTGAACACTTAGCTGGTAAGTGAGCTTGTCCCGCCTAGACATGTGTCTAAGAGTCATGGCTTTTCTGAGGTCTGATGTGGATTTGCCAAAGACTGGGCAGTTTTACTTCTGTCTCACTCTTGATATCAGAAATGGCGTTTACACTAGTGGATGCCGATTAGTGCTGTGGCAGCAAAGGTGAGATGCAGGGGAGGGAAGGACATTGTAAGAGTGTAGCTTTTGAGTTTTACTATGGAGTTTAGGAAAAGTAACCCTGTTCTGTGGAAGGGAATACCATCACATAGTCTTGCTCGACTTTAGCCCTCTGAACTGCTCCCCTGCACACTTGAGTGTGTTTTTCCTGTTGCCCTCAAGTAATTCTGAAGTTCATGGGCTGTTAGTTCAGGCTGTTCTAGCAAACCCTCGTCTTCATACCAGCTTCAGGAGGAGCTGCTGGCATGAAGTGTGCCCGCATATTTGGAGATAAAAACCTGTGTATTAGTGTGCTGCTGGGTTTTCGTTTTGTTGCTCTGAAGACCAGCCTGGCCTTGAATTCAGAGATCTCCCTGCCTCTGTCTCCCGAGGTGGGATTAAAGGCATGCGCTACCACTGACCGGCTTTTTTACTTTGTTCTTCAGAGGATTTTGCTCTAACTTATAGAAGCTCAGAGCTGTTGCGATGACCTGTTTCTTTAGCACAATGATTTTCAGTTTTTCCTGTCCTGTCACGTTTTCCCATTGCTCTGCTTCAACTAGGCCTAAGTGGAAAGTGGCAAGTCACCCCCCCCCTTCGTCTAGTGGGCCTCCTGACCATGTCACAGCTTGATGCCACCAAAATGAAAGGATCCTTGACTGCTTCAAATGCGGAGGGTGACAGAAGCTGAGCTGGGTTTCTCAGCCGGAGAACGGCCTCTGTCAAAGCAGAGAATAGTTGCAGAGGTACAAACTGGGACCTTGAAGCTGTGACTAACGTTTTGGCGACATGCGTCCGTTTGCCAAATGACTTCTTTTCTTAAGAGTGTGACTGTCGATCTCTTTCTCAAAATAAGCTCTTGTTAGCTGTTCTCCACACTGCTCCCAAGCAGAGGCTGGCAGAGTTCTGGTTGACTGTCTCTTGCAGGAAGGCCTTGGATTAGAGTGCATGGGGTGTTCCGCATCCAAGTGCAGTCCACTGGTAGATCTCAGGAACTGCTCTGCTAGGAAATAGAGGCAGAATTCTTCGCTGAATGTTTTGGCAATTCTTCATTTATCTGATGATTAACTGTAGATTCATTGCATTTGTTTAACTTTGCAAGGCCAGGGCACTGAGGAAGCTTTCTGTGTTCTCACTCCCATATCTCTGAGCCAGTGAACGTTACAGGCTAAAGTTAGGAACTTATCAACCTTTCCTTTGCTTTTTTTAATCCATCAGTGCTTGGGATTGAATCTAGGACTTCATGTGTGCTAGGCAGGTGCTCTACCACTGAACTACACCCCTACTCCCAGTAAGTGTTTACTGGCCTTATCTATGGCAAGGTAGCGGAAAAATGTCGCCGGGCAGTGATGTTACACGGCTTTCGATTTCAGAATTTGGGAGGCAGAGACAGGTGAATCTCTTAAGGCCAGCCTGGTCTACAGAGCAGGACAGCTCAGGACTGTTACACAGAGGAACGCCGTCTCGAAAAACCAATAAATAGATAAATAATAATTAAAAAAAAGATGTTGAAGCCAGGCGGTCGTGGCGCACGCCTTTAATCCCAGCACTTGGGAGGTTGAGGCAGATGGATCTCTGTGAGTTCGAGGCCAGCCTGGGTTACAAGAGCTAGTTCCAGGACAGGCTCCAAAGGTACAGAGAAACCCTGTCTCGGGAAAAAACACACAAACAACAAAAAAAGATATTGAAAAAATGTTAATTATAAGGCAAATGTGGTAGTTCCGGCACTTGGGGGGGCTGAAGACAACTGCAAATTCAAGGCCAGCCTGGACTACAGAGCAAAAGCAAGTTCCAGGACTGGTGCCAGAGCTACTGGAAAACCCTGTCTTGAAACAACAACAACAACAACAAAAGATTTGAGATGAGGCCTCATTCTGTAGTACTTCAGAGTTCCAAGTTCCTAACACTTTGAGATGTGGCTCACACTGACTAACTCCAGATCCAGGGGATCCAGCCGCACCTTTTAGATAGTATGGGTATTGACATGTGTGGCATGCACTCACCTTTGGGTGACACACAATTTTTTGTTTTGTTTTGTTTTGAAACAGGGTTTCTCTGGGTAATAGCTCTGTCTGCCGTAGAACTCGCTCTGTAGACCAGGCTGTCTTCAAACTCAGAGATCCACCTGCCTCTGTCTCCCAAGTGCTGGGAGTAAAGGCATGCGCCACCTCCTTTGGGTGACACACAACTTTTAAAAGAGAAATAAAGATGAAAATAGTGTTTGCAAATTTTTTATGTTAAATTGTGTTGAGGCTTGTTTATAATCCAAGTATTGAGGAGGTGGAAACAGATGAATCAGGAGTTCAAGTCCAAGGCCTTTGTTCAAAAAAACAAATAAAATTTATATTTTTATTAATTAGTACAGGACTGGAGAGATGGCTCAGAGGTTAAGAGCACTGACTGCTCGCTCTTCCAGAGGACCTGGGTTCAATTCCCAGCACCCCACATGGCAGTTCACAACTGCCTGTGACTGCAGTTCCAGGGGACCCGACACCCATGGCAAAATACAAATGCACATAAAATAAAATTAAATAAAAAAGTAATGCAAATTCAAATGGCAACAAATAAATTAAGTGGCATGTTGACTCATACCTGCAATGTCAGCACTCCACAGGCAAAGGCAGAAGGGTTGCATTTGAGGCTAGCATGGGTTGAAGGTTAGCTTGAGCTGTACAGCAGGACCCACAGACTGTATGTAGCTCAGTTCTAGGACAGTTGCCTAACAAGTGCGAGGAGGAGGCCCTGAGTCCCATTCCCACCATTGGGGTGAGGGGTATATGATATGCTCTACCTTTGGCTTACCTTCAACTCAGTTCACTTGTTCCATCTTCACAGGGGTTGTGAACTGCCTGATGTAGGTGCTGGGAATGGAATTCAGGTCTTCTTGTAAGAGCGGTCAGTGTAAGAAAGTGTGTGCTCTCAATGGCTAAGCCATCTCTGCAACCCGAGGCCACAGCTTTTAAAACCAGTGTAGCACACACTGTTAATACTACCTACATCTTTTGTTTGTTGTTTTTGTTCTTGTTTTTTAACACATGGACTACCTCACAAATTCGCATGTCATTTTTGTGCATGGGCCATGCTAATTTTCTCTGCATTGCTCCAATTTTAGCATATGTG